CTCAATTTTCCTATCCAAAACGTGGTCCTGGTAGAAGCACTATTGGCCGTACCACCTGCCACAACAACTTGGTCACGGCACTTTTGGCTGTGCAGCGATCTGTTGCCGCTTGCCCTATCAGCCTACGCAGTACGTGCCCCAGGGCACACGTGCGGGATCATACACATTCTGGGTGATGCTCCACTGGGTAAGGCCTTCCCATGAATTTGACGCCAACCCAGGCTTGCGGGCAGCGTAGCCCTCCCCAAATACCCACTCTTCACCTTCACGTCGCTGTGAACGGGGGATGCCCCACCTGTCCCAAAGCTTGTCTTCGACCTCGTCTGCGGAGACCAATGTCAGGATCTCGCCTTTCTGGTTCTGGAATCCAAATGGCGCACCAAGAGCAAGTGGAAAAGGGGGTCTAGGGAAAAGTCCAAACGGATCCGGGTTCTCCGTAAATATGATCCAAATCCTCTCGCCTGCAGACATGTCGAGTGCTGGAAGGTTGGCCAAGGCTGTTACGAACAGACTGCTGTTGAGAACGCTCAACGTGAAGTTCTGGTTTGGATTCCGAAGATCCCGGAGGGCCGTAAGCTCCAGCGCAGCTGAGTCCGGGCCAAGGACCATCAGGGAGAAGACGAGACCTAGCTTACACTACAGTAGGGCTTTCTGGTCATTGCAGGGCGACGGAGGGTGTAACTAGGGCCTGTTTCAGGTGTGGGGTTCCGGTTTTCTGAAGATGAAGCCTGGCACGATCTTGCCGGTATTTTTGAAGATCTTCGGCAGCTCGCCGCTTGGTGCCGGAGGACAAGCGGGAGTTGCTGGAGTCACACAGTAAGTGCCCCAGGGAACGGAGGCCAGATTGCTGGAGACGAAGTACTGTTCAACTCCATCTACACTCCCAAAGTAGACGGCAAGGGCAGGAAGCGGCGCAGGCCCGGGCCGACGAGATGCAAAGCCTTGGAAAGTCCAGATCCAGGTGTCCGTGAACTCTCCGGAAACAGCATCGTAGAGCAGCAAAGAGTAGCCACTGGCGGTATCGAAGTCGAAGTCCAATTGATAGTCGGGCTTCTGCCCTGGGATGAGTTGGAGCGAGTCAGAAGTGTTGAAAGCAACGGTGATGGAAGTACCTTGAGGTATGCTCCTCCTCGCTCCCAGAAAGTCGGCAAAACTGATCCCAAGAAAAGGATTTGCCACCAAGAGAAAAGGCCTGTAATCTCGGAGCTCGCGCATGGCAAAGAGCTCAAGGGCGACGGCGCCAGTCGCGTCTGACACCACCAGAGAGAAGACAGGCCCGGCACGGTCCCGTCCGGCGGCACGGCAGGGCATGGGATCTCCGGCGCCGGTGTTCCACAGAAGCTTCCCCAGGGTGCAGCCACCGTGCTGCCGACGCTTCGAGCAAGGCTCCATTGCTGGAAGCCCGGCGCGTACGGCTGCGGAGCTTCGGCTTTGCGGGCTGCGAAGCCCTGGTCGGCCTGGAAGAGCGGCGTGTTGTTGGCGTCCACGGGAAGCCAGATCTCTGCCCCGAAGCCCGCGCCCTGGACTTCGAGGATGTCCCGGCCAATGGCGAAGGAGAACGGAGCCAAAAAGTCGGGCTGGAAGCCGAAGAACTCCTCGAAGGCGGTCCCATTCCCAAATCCCACGGTGAAAAAGCTCCCCTGCGTGACTGTGTCGAAGCTGAGCTCGAAAGAAGCCCCGAAGTTCTTCACGATCCTCACGGTCTCGTTCTGAAAGCCGCGGAGGGCGTAGAGCTCCACTCCGCTGGGATCGCCGCCAGGCTCCGACACCAGCAAGGAAATAATCAGGTCCCGTGCCACATCTGGAACTGAGGGGCACAGCGAAACTCCTGCGCTGCTGGCTGGGGTGGCGCTGTTATCGCTGCTGCCGTTCTGCCATCGGTCTCGGACACTGCGATAGAGCGCGCAATTGGCCCGCGTGGGCACAAAGAACCGTCCGTAGTAGCTGTTCCCGGGTCTCTCCTGGAACTGCCCGAGATCGGCAAACTCCTGCGCGCAGCTTCCCGGATCCGAACTCATCGCCTCGCACTCCTCCACGAAGAGCGCTTGGCTCCGAGCGATCGGAATCGAATCCAAATCACAGGGCCTCAGGAGCGTGTCCGGGTTGTCCACGGCGCATGTGCAAACCCAGAACTCGAACTGCGTCACTTCCTGCTCCGCGGTGCATTTGCCCATCCACTGCAGCGATTCCGCTTGGTCCAGAAAACGGTCGTAGTCACTTGGCACGGGCTGTCCCAAGCAAAAACCACCGCTATTCCCGAAAAATTGCAAGCTTTGCACTGTGAAATGCATGTCAACCGCCACTGTGCCATGAACCGACAGGCAGTTTACTGCATGGATGCAGCTGAAGGTGTGGTTGTTGGCGAACGCACACTCCACGCTTTGATCAGACAGCGGCCGCAGAACAACGTAGCGCCCGTCGTCTGCTGGCCCTCTAAACTGATCTGTCCTGTTAGCCAGCACATAGTACTCCCGGAAGAGAATGTCGTAGGACCCATAGTTACGGAAAGTAGCGGACAGTCCCGGACGTCGTTGTGGCCGCGAAA